GCTGTACAAGGCTTTTAGGAATCATGAAGTCAGACGTGAAGCATTGTGACAGCCGGGGCTGCAAAGTGGCAGATGAAAGAGCCAAGTGGACAAAAAAGCTGGGCCGTGACCTGAAAACAGCAAAGTCAACCTCTAATTCACTTCTAAGTTCAAAAATACCAGTAAAGTTATTTTATTGATATGCGTCGTACTATTTCTGAAATCAATTGATTTCTTTCATCTAACAGTAGCCGTTCATTTTGTCCACATTGGGCACATAATTTTCATCAATTTACAGATCGACTGGTCTATTTTCAGATAGGCTTTTACACCCTACGTGAAACGTCAGTTAATCGTTTGTAAAAGTAAGAAAGTAGGAATATTTCTCAGAAGTAGCAGACAAGTTTTCATTCACGTCCCCACCACAACTGATTGATGGTTCTGCCTAGCATACTGTAGTGAGGTGTCGGGAGCCCTGTCTGGGCCTCGTAGAAACAGTGCTGCCATTGATTAGTGATGTCTGTCATGGGCGTGGAACGTGAAATGACAGCACATGCCTATGCTTAGATAATTGATAGATGGATGCTTTTGCTGTAAATAATTTCTAAATTAAATGAATTCTCATGCCCACATAATTCAGAATGCTACGTTTACTGCGGGGAAAATACTGCTTTAAGAATGGTGACAGACTGTATTTTCCAAAGATGGCCACAAGAACTCCCATCTCACGTGCTCTTCTGCAGTGTGACCTTGCCACTCCCCAAGACGAGGGACAGTTAATTCTCCTCCCCTTGAATCTGGGCTGGCCTGAGCGAGTCGCTCATAACCAACTAGACACAGCAGAAGCGATGCTGTGTGACTTCTGAAGCCACATAGGAAAGGAAAATGCAGCTCCCGCCTGGCTTCGGCACACTGGCTCTTGGAAAGCTCCCTGCTAGAAGCCAGCACTGGCCGTGAGAAACTCAGGCTGCCTGGAGGGGTCCTGGGCCGGCGACAGGCCCAGCTGAACCCAGCCTTGGGGTCTGGGAGCCTCCAGATGGTTCCAGCCCCGAGGCATCTGAGTCTCCCACAGCTGGTCCAGTCTTCCCAGGTGAGGGCCGGACGCTGTGGAGCAGACACGAGCTATGCCCGCCCGGCCCTGGCTGTTTCCTGACCCACAGATCTGTGAGCGCAGTAAGATCGTGCGAAAGTTTAACACCACTCGATTTTGGGGTGCTGTGTCACATAGCAACGGTAAACCAGAAAAAGAACACCAAACACCACGGGGAGTGGAGGCAGTGGGTCTGCCTTCTCCTTCACCATGACTGGGGGACACCAGCGGCAGACAGGAGGCACGCTCTGCTGGCGGAGACACTACCCGCTCCCACAACAGGAGCCAGAGGAGCCTCGGGCCTTCCAGAACCCGTGTGTGCTGGCGGGTGGGGCCCGGCTGCCTGCCCCGCCAGGCGCCTGCGTCCGCTCTGAGGGCCTCCGAGGGGCTCTGGGTGGGGGCCCGGCTTTGCAGACTCTATTCCGCCAAGGGGAGTAGGTCCTCTCTGTATTCAGGCTAATTTGGTAGAACCCTTCCCCACGACACCCCAACTAACTTTTGTCGTAATGGGAGGTAAAATATGTCTTAACGTTAAAACTAAGTTTTATTCAAAGTGACCGTGGCCCACATCACCCGCGTGCGGCCAGTGTCCACCCTGCCCCTCTCCTGGGTGTTTTGTCGCCCTCGGCCTGTAAAGCCTCATGAAAGAGCTCCTGGTCAGGCCTTCAGGGAGGGGACAGGTGTCACCTGTAACAGGAAGACAGTCATCCCTCGTAGTCAGGATGGGGGGGTCGGTCACAGCATCAGGACGCTGCTGCCGTCCCACTAGCAGATCCACTCCCTCTTCCCAAGGGCTGTTTACTGAACTTCCACCCCGAGCCGGGCTGGGCCAGACCCTGGGCACACACTGCTGAAGGCGGCCGGCCCTGGGTCCCGGGGTCCAGGCAGAGGAGGCCTGGAAGGGGATCAGGCTGGGGACACAGTCGGGGTGTGAGTCAGGAAGACGCGCTGTGTGAGGACCAGAAAAAGCCCCGGACCACCCACTGGAGGCTCCGGAACAGCCTCTTGGAGGAAACGGTGTTTGCATTGAGCCCTGGGGGGCCAGGAGGAAGGGCGAGGTGATGGGGCAGACAAGAGGAGCAGGACGCAGGCCCGGAGACCGAGAGCACGGGGTTGGCAGAGCTGCAGGCGGTTCCGAACGGCTGCGGCATTGAGCGGGAGGCAGAAGCAGAGGGAGAGGGCAGGCAGGCTGCAGGCCTGTGGGCGACACAGGGCACCTGAAAGAGCACTTGGCCAGTGACGTGGAGAACAGATCAGAGGGAACCAGCACGAGGGCCACGGTGAGGCCACTGCTGACCCAGGCGAAACACAGGGACTCCGTGTGTGACAGCTGCTACGACTCAGATGGCACCCCTTCTGCTGGGAGCTCAGAACATGAGAACACGAGGGGTGTGTCTTACACGTGCTAATACATTTCTGGAGGATTCTTACACAGAAAGGCCAATTTCTGCCTAATGAGTGAACAAGAAATACAGCGTGGATGAACTCTGGGGCGGAGGAGGCAGAGGGGCCCACCCCGAGGCCCGGCCTCCCCAGCACAGCAGTGAGCTCGGTCTGTGCTGTCATGCTCTGGCAGGCAGGGCCCATCCGTGGAAGCCTGGCCATTTTCTGGGCCTGGGGAACTTCCCTAAACAGGAAACTGCTTCTCCCAAATGAGAGCTGAATGTCAAGAGGGAGGGAAAAAGCGAAATTTCAGACTTGGGCCCCAAACAATTCCAACCCAATTTTCTCACTGTAATTCTCACCACGCCCAAAGAAAACAGGCCTCACAGACCACATCAATCCTGGGAGGCGGGAGGCCTGGCTGCGTGCCGCTGGCCGGCCTCTCCGGGGTCTGTCTCCCGCACTCCTGGGGTCTCTCTGGCAGCCACAGAGGGAGGAAGCTGGCCCTTACCCCGGCCCACCCCACTGCTCACGGCCTCAGCCGCCTTCCTTGTCTTCCCGAGCCTCTAGCTCCACCTGTAGCCCAGTGGGGTCAGAGGAAGCTGCTGGATTATGATGAGGGACGAGGAGGAAATTTCTGAAGTCATTCCAGGGGCCACAGACCCGCGAGTGTCTGCTGTTCCACAGGTGGGGGGGGCGCAGTAAAGGGTCATGAAAAGCGAGTGAGATTCAGGGTCAAAGTGCCACTTCCACCACATGGCAGCTGGGAACCTGGGGCAAATGACTGCAGCTTCCGTTGGGTTTCAGCTGCCTCCACTTTAAATGGGTGCTATAATGTTCTGCTTTTGGGAAGCAGCCAGAAACACCTGAGATAGAACAGGTGCTGGGAAAATCCGGATCCTGACAGCAGGTTTGCCCACACAACTCACAAGGCGTAAATCCCACACAGGCCTCCATCAGTGGGGACCCATCCCCTGCTGGTCCATTCCTTCCCACGGCATCTCACGCCCAACGTGGGTCAACAGTGCTTCCCGGCTGACCGAGACCTGGGAGAGCAAGATTCCTGGGGTGGCAGCGGGGAGAGTCTCTGGCAGCCCAGGCACACAGGGTAGCCCTTAAGTACCATGACACAGGGGGTCTGCACACCCTTCTCCACCTGCTGGCAGTGGCCAGGCAGCAGAAGAGGTGATACAACGTACTGGAAAACCGTGCAGGCTGGAGCTGCTCACCCGGGGGCGTGTCACACTCTCTAGGGCCGCGACCAAGGTGACTAAGTGGACCTCATGTGTATAATGGGGGTATTCAGACAGCCTACCTCACAGAGCTCTTGGGAGCGTTAAAGAGCATAACCAAAGCACTTGGGACACAGCCTGGCGTGGGGTCAATGTTCGGTGAGCACTCATCGCCCTCCCATCACTGCTGAAGCTCGGCTGTGTCTGCGGGCCCAGATCCCTCGTTAAATGGCAACATCGGAAGGCTCACCCCAGATAAAGATCCTGTGTCCTGGAATGGACACTCCACTCTTGGCGGGAGGGCGCAGAGTGGGGCTGCCTCCCCGGAACAGCCCATGGGACCAGTGACTGTGTGGAAGTGCCTCGCAAACCAGGAAATGCATTACAAACACTAGTGTTCCGGTTCTTGTTTTTCTTATACTTTAAAGTCTAAGCAATATTGTAAACATAATCCTAGTTTCCACTTATTTGACAACCTATCATGGACGAGACACAGTGCCCACTGCTTCTGACAGAGCCACTCAATGTTCTCAACAACCCTACAAAGTTAGAACTATTTTCATCCCCATTTTAGAGATAAGGAGAATGGTATTCAAAGGCCACCCAAAATCTCAAGTGGGATTCAAATGCAGGCTGGCTGGCTCCCAAGACTACACTTAAACTATACTTGTTGATCGAATATAAATGTTCTAAGATGACTAGGATGCCAGTGGGCTCAAGGTTTCCAGCCGAAAGCCTTACCTAATCCACAGGGCAGTGCCTGGCTATTAAGATCGCCTGAAAAGCATGTTCCTTTCGCTCATTCCAGGTTAACCACCCCAAGCTTAACTCACTCCCCTGAAGGATGCAGGGCTCAGCTGACCCTGCTAAGCTCTGAAACGACAGCTCCTAGTCTAAGGATTTTCAACCTAGCACAGACAACATTTTGTTTTCTTGCTAGGACATCAAAACAACATACAGTACCCTCCTCCCCTCCAAAAAAGAAAATCTGTTTTCTTCCTGAAATCAAAACAGCATTTTGTAGATAAGAAAAAAAGACATCAACAAATCTCAGCTTATTTTGCTTTAATATCCCAAAAACATTTGTGTGAATGGGACTATGTTGCAAAACAAGGCGGAAGTCCGCAGGTGAGTACGTCTCCCTCCGAGGAAAAAACTGATGGGAGAGAAGGCACCAGAAATGGCATTTTGCTGGATCCACGTCAGCAGTAAACGGGAGAAAGGGTTCGCCAAGGAGGAAGGAACCTGTGTCAGCATTTCACCCTAAGGATGAAAAACGGCTTCACTAGCTGATGCTCAAGCTCCGTCTTCCATTGTAGTGTAAACAGACCCGGTGCTAAGGAGACAAGTCCCCACACAGCACACTGCAACGGTCACGAAAGGGACTGACGTTAGCCTCAGCCCTGGGTCCTCTCCCCTCCTTTCCACATGGCTCCCAGGGGCTTCTCACTCTGCAGCACCTCAAAAATGTGCCATTCCTCATCAACCGGTCAGTGGGAAACCGAGTCCTAAAAACCCTGGGTGCATACAGCTTGCCTCTGTGCATGCTCTTCCATCAGCTAGGTGGAGGTGCTGGGTGGAGGGACGTACTGCGTCTGGCCTGTTGTCTTAGGTGATGACAGTGGGTGCGGTGCGCCCTGTCCTCTCCTGGAGCTTCGACACCTTCAGCGCAATGGAAATAAGGGGGGCCAGCATGACCTGAGGGAGACACAAAGAGAAGGAGTTTCCCATCGCTCTCCCCAGACACTGATCCGCAGCTCCAGCCTCGGAGCGCCAGACCCTGGCGTCGGATGCCTGCTCCGACTTCCCGAAGGGCTCTCGAACTCTTCATACCTAACAACAACGACACGTGCTTTCCCCCAAAACCGAGCTCCAGCATGCCCTATTTCAGGGAATCGGTGACATCGTGGCCTGTCAGGTAAAGCAGCTGAACAGCTGAGACTCCTGACACCGTCTTCTCCCGCGTTCCCCTCGTCCCATCCATCAGCGAACCTAGGTGACTTGTCTCTCCTAACCCTCTCTCAGAGCCACCCGGCTCTCTTGAGCCCAGCACTACAGCTCTCGCTAAACCGGCCTCTCCCTCTTACCTGGAACACCGGTGCCTCCACATCCGCTTCTGCCTCCTCCAATTTGTTTCCCACACTGCACCCGAGGAGATCTTTTCAAAACGCAACCACACCCCCTCCCATCTACCTCTCACTTAAGGGGAAAAAAATGAACTCTGCTCTTGCTTAAATAAATATTTTTTAATATTTAAAAAGAAGTGAAAACTACTCATCTGGTTGCACTGCCCATTTTACAGAAGAGGAAACTGATACCCAGAGGCAAGCTGACCAAGTGACTCCAGGGCGGGGCCAAGAGCAGCACAGCCCCCACCGCCCTGTCGCTGTCCCTCACCCACGTCTCCGCCGACTCATCGCCCCCGGGGGAGGGCTGGAGACCCAACCCACATGCTGACCCCACCACCTGCCATTCCCCTGGCACCCCGACAGTCCTGCAAAGTCCGAGGCTGAGGCCAGCCGCTCTGGAGGAGGGGACGGCATCTCCCAGCTGGAATGGTGGCACCTGGGCGCTGTGGGCACCTGCACCCTTCAGCGCCCTCCCGTCTCCTGAGGACTAGGACTCAGAAGAAACTTATCTTTCATCCGTTCTTTGTGTCTACCAAGTGCCAGGCGTTAGGACAGAGAAACCCAATGTCCTTCCTCTTGTCCGCTCGCTCTGTTATCCCGCCGGCCTACCATGCAGACACCGCTGCCTTTGGTCAAGTTTTAGGGGTGCCTATAACATAACAGCGGTCTGGCGATGACTGAAGCTGGAGCGTGGCCACTGGAAAACTGTCCAAGTGGAGCATTCTCTCACCTCCCTCTTCTGGTAACGAAAACAACTAGAAGAGCCACTCTTTCTCCAAAGCTGATCCTCTACGCCAGGCACAGTGTGCAGAATTTTGCATCCACTGTCTCCTTAAATCCCCATAACAGCTCTGTGAGGGAGGTGGCATTCTGCCATTTTACAGACGAGGAAACCAAGCTGTTAAGTGGCAGAAACCGAATTTAAAACAAGATGTCTCCAACTCCAAAATGCATGCTCAAAACCACTACGCCAGGGGCTTCCAAGTGAGTTTCACAGGTTTTAATTAGGTGTTAGAAGGAAAAAGGCTTTGTGGAAAAGTGAGCCTGGCGAGTGCTATTCAAACAGGCGTCGTTACTGCAAGTCTCCGCAGAGCCTGTGAGGTGCAGCGTGTGCGGTGAACTGCCAAGAGGGGCTAAGGCAGCACAACGCTCCCCACACGGCTCTGCCCCGGAGCTCTGGTTGGGCAGCACCTGCCAAGACAAGTGCTGTGAGGAAGGCACACGGGGAGCCCTCCCCTGGGTGTCACTGCCTCCCCTTACCCCCTCCATTTGGGTGGCAGTCCTCCGAGCTCTCCGTCCCACCCCTGGCCCCCTGGTCCCTCCTCATCTGACACACTTCTGGAGAATCTTTGGGTGGGGCTGGGAACCCAAACCACAAGGCTGCCGGCCCGCAGACCTTTCCATAAAGGTATTTCTTGCAGGGCCGTGAAACTGTCTCTCCCCACCCCAAGTCTAGAACCAGCTTGTGTTCTGCAGGGCAGGTGGTCAGACAAGCAAAGTGGCAAGTGATCAGTGACAGACAGAACATCAGACAGGCAGGTGATAAGAAGGTTAGTTATCCCGAATCTGGTGTGTGAACTTGCCAGGTGTGTGAACTTACAGCTGCTTTGCCTGCCTGTGCCTCGGTATCCCCATCTGTAGCAGGGACAACAATGGAGTCCACCACATTTGAGAATGAATGACCCATGTAATGGGTTTAGAACAAGCTTGGCAAATAGAAAGTGCTCAGACCATTGTTAGCTATTACTGTTGTCAGGAAAACTGGCAGAGACACGGGGAAAAGCAAGCACTCCTATGCGATCATTTAAGTGATGGCTGTGACAACACAGGCTCGGGGAAACCACTGTCGTCCTCCAACAGGAAGAAGCAGTCGGGCACAGGGCTGGGCATTACCTGGGGGTCCTGATAGATCTTGGCGAGGTCCTTCTCATAGCTGTCGATGTACAGGCGGATGGTGGCCCCGGCGCTCCCAGTGCCGCTCAGTCGAAAGATGATGCGAGAACCATCTGCAAAAATGAGCCGCAAGCCCTGGAAAAGAGAAGCAGAGACAGTTTCGCCACATGCTGGAAGGGAGACTGAAGGCTGGAACATGACAAGGGTCCACTTGGGGACCTAACCTCATCCATACTTGATCAATCGGAGGATTAGATCCTTGATAAAATGGCAGCAGTCGAGGCCCATGAATCTCCCCTCGGTCAACCTGTCACTGCATCCAGTCAACGGGGGCTGGGCGCACGGGGAGATGCATCCCCAGGGTCAGGTGGGGAACCCGATTCCAGGGAGGCTGGAGGACACGAGGCCTGCCCCCCCCCGACTTCCCTGTGATTTATGGATTAACCATTCCAGTCTGAAGCTTAATAAATACATAAATAAATAAGTAAACCACTAGGTGTAGAAATTTGATCCCCAGATCAGGAGGGAAACACGGGCTGAATGGGCTGAGACCAGAGCAGAAGGGGCTTCAGGCAGATGAGAGGAAGAACTCTTCACCAACACGGACAGAGAGCCTCAGAAAGAGAGCAGGCCATATGCCCCAAACGGAAGAGGCTGTCCCCAACCTGTCAAGTGGGACCCAGGGGTCAGTCTCCTGCCGATGCCTGGGGCCTCCAAGCGGGGTCCACGTGGGGCACCGCCAAGCCCAGCCCCTCGCTGCGGCCCTCTCCGTTCCCTCCCTGGCAGCCTCTCTCGTCCTCAGTCATCATCTGGCTTCAGGGGGCTTCAGGTTGGGGACTCAGGAGGAGATTCTGCGGCCTGCGGTAGGAAGGCTGGGCGAGATGGACCCCTCGGTCTTAAGGAGTCTGTCAATTCCTCAATAAAATGAAGAACTTTGCACAAAGCCAAGGACCAGCCAGAAGGGAAGACACTGTTGCTCCTCTGCTAGTCGTCACCAAACCCACCCAGCGAGGGGCTGTGCCGTCCCGCAGGGAAGACGGCGGGTGAAATCAGACTCATTCCCGCGTCAGTCACCACGGGGAGACACAGTTCACCCCCTTTACTGTCTCCTGCTTTCTGGAAGTGTTCCTGGCTTGGTCTCCTTCTCCCACAGCTTCAACTTCAAGTGTCTCAATTCTTCCCACCTGACTGTGGATGCCACGTCCACCGCCAAAGATGTCCCCTCCTCCCTGGGCTCCCAGCTAAGCGCTCAGACTTGCTGACTAGAGCTTGAGCTGTGGGCTTCCTCCTCCCGGAGCGCAGAGGGCGGCGCCCACTCAGCTCAGGCGGACACTTGGCCCGGCAGCTGCCCTGCCCCCTCCCCCCTCACAGATGCTCTCCCTGAAGGATTGACCACCACCCTGCCTTCCCCGGGGCCCCTCCCTCCCTCCTCTTTTCCCCACGCACCCTGCCTCCATCCCAGGCCTCTCCCCTTCTGATTTTCTCAGCCATAATCTATAGCCATGCATCTGGACCCAAAGTTCTCACAGGCGGTGAAAAGGCATAAGAAGAGCCACTGTGCCCGGACTTTGAGGAAGGCAGACCCCAGGCACTGACGGTCGCTGTGGCCATGCTCCATCCACCTGTTGGCTACCTGCTCTCCAGAGACTTTAACCAAATCCCGCAGCCCCTCTCCTCCGAAGCCTGTGGGATGCCCTGAGAAGGACCGGGCCGAAAATCTGGGTCTATCAGGACAAAGAGCGGACAGCTGCTACAGACCTCCACCTCCGTCCTCATTCTCTCTGTTTCTAAATCATTAGCGACAAGGCATTCTGTGACAACGGAACCAGAGGAGCAAGGAGCCTGGGCCCTGGGTGCTGTGCAGGGCCTGGAGGGCTGGCCCAGCCGGCAGCCATGGCACCACTGAGGGAACCCGCCAGCGTGGTCGCCAGCCAGACAGGGCCCACGCGCTCAGCTGTGCTGTCCTCCCCACACTGCCGTGTTAGGGCCGGCTGAAGGTCACGCCCTGTACATAGCACAGTTAACGTTTCTGTGAATGGCTTGTTTATTTTTTCTTCTTTTTTAGAAATTAGAACACATCACAGAAACGTCTGATAATGGCAGTCTCACGCTGGCATTCTGCCACAATCCCGAGAGAAAAGAGCGGAGCTGGTATCGAAGCCAGCAGCTCTCTCCGTTGTTTAGATTCTGGGGCTCCTCTCTACACACACTCAACACGGATCTCACATATAATTGTGGAGGGTGTGAACATCCCCCTGGAGTCTAGGCTAAGAATCCCAGAACGAGGGCATCGGGGAGTGCACAGAACCGGGGCAGAAACCTTCCCCACGCGGACACTGCGAGGCAGGGGGCACTCAGCAGAAAGCCAGTTGAGAGCAGCTACCCTAGAGAAGCAGGACGGCGGAGGAGACACGGCCAAGGGGCCTTTTTCCTTTTTCTCTTGAGATCTCAGAGATGAAGCTCTGAGGCCTCTCTCCCCCCGACACACATAAATCTGCTCCTACCTGGTTTCTCGAAATGCTTCCGTCCACTGGGTCACTGTACTCAAAGTTATCAATCTTCTCCACGGTGTAAACTTTGTCACCCTCTGAGAACTGCTTCCCCACGAAGGAGCGATCAGTTATCAGGGCCTCCAAGTCCTTCATCATTTTGTTGGCGCCCTCGGCTGCCACCTCCTCGTAGTCGTACCTGGAAGGAGTCACGGGAAGGAGTCACTTCAGATCCCGCCCGGGGTGCCAGCACCGTCTTCATCGTTGTCTGCCGCCCCTCCCCAACCACCTGACTTCAGAAGCTGGTAACAGACGGGCTTGTCCGTCCCTGGGGCTGGAGCAGGCCAGGAATGAAAGGAAGGGTTTGGAGGGAAGGCTCAGGAGCTTCCGAAAAAGCAGAAAACTCCCATCTTGGCTTTTCTACAGAATAAAGCTCTTAGAAGCTTCAAAGGCTTTCGGGAGACACTATCTAACATTTAATCGCCACATCGTGAGGAGAGAGAATTAAAAGCAGGGTTATCTCTAGAGAACCCCGCATAAGGGAGCGCGGGACTGGGCACGTCTCTGCCACAACTGGAGCTTCTCTGGGATAAGTGTGGGCCTGCTCTCCCTCTGGGACCTGCCTGAGGCTGCTGAGATGCTGGCCAAGGAGAGTTCCAGCCCCCACAGGAGCTTCCTAAAGTAAGGCCAAGTTCTCAGTGACCAGATGAAGGAGCCCAACCTAACTCTTCACATCTGAACCGCCTCCCTCCTTTCAGCGAGACTGGATCTGGCCCAAAGTGCTCAGGGTCCCCCTGACAGACGCGGCCTGGTGTGGATGCAAAAGGGCCGAGGAAAAACAAAGCGCGTCGCAGATGAAACTCTATGACTGTTATTCTTCCTCCAAGAATTGTTCTCGACTTCTTTCTTATGAGGTTAAAGACTCTTACAGGTGGCTTTTCTTGACCTAGTGGCACATACTCTCTTGAGAGAGTTATTTTTCAGAGGCTCAAGATAGCAGAGTCTATATTTATTTGCGATAGTGAAACAAATATGATATGTGCAAGATGACACCTCTGAGACATGAGAAATACTGGGGAATTCAGGCCAACCCATTCTGGCTCCAGGATCCTATGAATCAAGGACAAGAGTCCGCTTAATCTGGAAGTCAGCTCTTTCCCCTAGTTAAAATGAGAAAGAGCAAGAAATTACAACCAGGTGTTTGTGCTTTATGTCAGTAACCTCTGGGCGTTCAGGGAAAAGTTCTATAAATCCTAGGCACAGAGGGTATAACAGAAGGAATCTGGCTTCGGAATCAGACAGAACGAGCTATGAATCCAGCCTCTGTTGGTTACTAACTTGCAACAAGGGGCAAGTCGCTTGTCTCTCAGAATCTCAACTGCCTTGTCAATCACTGCTCTGAGGCTGACACGAAACAATGCGTGCAGAAGTGCCCAGCGCTTTCATCAAACAAATGGAGGCTACAATGGAGTCTTAACTAACCATTAACGCAGGTTCTAAGGATTTTATTTGCAATACTTGGTTAGCAGTTATTTGAAATTAATAAAAATACTTTAACATAGTTTTTAGATGGAGACTTTTAACTGATTCAAGAGTGACCCTTTCTCTGAACAGACCCTCCTAATCTCATCCCACTCTGGCTACCGTTCACGTGCTGACGCATCTATTCATCTGTTCAGAGCATTTTTACGTGGTGTCACTCTGTGAGAGGTGTTTGGTGATACCAAGGAGCACGAAAACAGACATGGTGCTGCCTTCACGGTATTCTAGGCTCCAGAGAGTTCATGGCTGCTGTTCTGAATTCCCAGGTTTTTCTGGTTCTTCGAAAGTCAAGATTCTTGCCTTGGTTCCTAGGGCTACTGTGCGGTACCACGTGGCCGTTACAACTTATATCTTCCACAAAAGAATAACTTAAGGGAGGAAGACAGCAATGAACTTGTCAAACTTGATAAAAGGATTCTGATTCAGGAGGCCAGGTTGCTTCAGGTTGAAATTCTTTCCTGACCATCCAGAGATAACGGACTATTAAATCCGCAACATATTTTTTAAGCTCTCTGTTCTAACTCATTTATTGTATAGAAAAGGCAACTGAAGTCCAGAAAAATTACATCTGTACATTTCTTACAGATAAGCAATTTATCTAATATCCTTTTTCTCATATTTCCTTTCCATAATCAGAATAGTGAGGTCCAGGAAAAATCTTGTTAGATTTTCCCACTTACTGGGGGAAGAAAGTGAAATTAGTGGAAAGCACTACTGGAAAAATTCTTAATGCTTCTTAAAAACAGAAGCATATACAGTAAAGAAGAATGGCCAAATAGTCTAAATATTCTGGTCACTGCTGAATCCCAGCGCCTGGTGGAAGGTAGGCACAATCAGTATTTACTGAACCAACGAACGAAGTGTTGACAAGTACACAGCCTTTAGGCACCTATTTTAATAACTCAGAAAAGTTGATCTAGACTAAGGATTATTGTTTCCATAATTTCAGAAAACAGTTTCTATACTTTTAGTGCCCAGAGTTTGCAAAACACCTTCAGACTCATGTTTCATTCAATCCACTCCTAACTGGAATGTTATTTCTATTTCTATAAATGCGAAAGCTGAGTAGAGAAAGAGGTTACATGACTTTCCAATCTACTGAGGGGCAGAAACAAAATTTGAATCCATTCTTCTGCATCTAAATCCAAAACTATTATCATGTCCACCTGAGAGGTACATTTAAAAGGCTTACAAAACATTTACTCTTTCGAATATGTTAACTACATTTTTTTAAGCCTCGTTCTTCAAGGCTAATGTAAAAGCTGACTTCATCTCAACTCTGACTGAATAATGTTAAAATCCTCAATTGGGAGAGGCTGGATGAACTAGGGTTTGACTATCACTTAAGACGTGAAAGTCTGTATGCGTGCAAACTCTCCCTGCCCACCTGTGCACCCTCCTCGGAGCCCCGGCCGGGCTGCGGCTCACCTGGTGAAGAAATTCCGGCCATACTTTTGCCAGTGATCTTTGAGAATGTCCTCCACGCTCTGTTTGCGGGTGGCGAGAATGGAGAGCCAGGCGAGGACGGCCCAGAGTCCGTCTTTCTCACGGATGTGGTCAGAACCTGATCAGGGGACAGCAAGCAGCTGTGAGAAATGAGAGGCCTCCAAAATGCTTGAGAATAAACTCAACAGTCAACATGAAGACCCAACCAAAAGAGTCATGAAACTTTACTGAGGAACCTGAACACACACGCAGAAGGAACCACGTATTGAACAAAGTGACATAATATTGAAAAGAAGTTGATGCTTCCCAAAGCAATTTAGAAATTTAAGGCAAATGTCAATAAAAATGTCAGCGGAATAATTTGGTGGAACTTGATGTATCAATTATAAAGTATGAATGTGAGCAGAAAAAACAAAATAAATCTTAAATAAACAAGCACAAGAACATGACCACCGTCAATTTTCAACCATTAAAATAGTCTGGTAGCTCAATGGAACAAAAGTGAGCATCTGGAAAGAGACCCAAACCCATACGAGCCTTTAAGATATGATAAAGGTGTCACTTCAAGGTTGCAGGAAAAGAATGGATTGATTTTTTTTTTTTGAGGAAGATTAGCCCTCAACTAACATTTGCCACCAATCCTCCTCTTTTTGCTGAGGAAGACTGGCCGTGAGCTAACATCCGTGCCCATCTTCCTCTACTTTATACATGGGACGCCTACCACAGCATGGCTTGCCAAGCGGTGCCATGTCCACACCCGGTAACCGAACTGGCAACCTGGGCCGTCGAAGTGGAACATGTGCACTTAACCGCTGTGGCACCAGGCTGGCCCCTGGATTGCTTTTGAAAGAGTATTTGGATAACCAGCTAAACAGTTGGAAAAAACCATTCAAGAATTCTGGATGGATTATACACTCAAATGTAAAAACTGAAAACTTTTAACACTAGAAGACATAATATATAAATCTTTTTTTAAATCTTGGAGATGGCAAATACACGTAAATTCAGAATTCATACAAGAAAATAATCTGTGTATTTCTCTACTTAAAAATTAGCATTTCTATCAGCAAAACTACCATAGGTAAAATTAAAAGGCCATTGGCAAACTTTAAAAAACACATTTGCCACATAACGTAGATGTTTAATACACTCAATACAGAAAAAATTCTTATACATTAATAAGAAATTCTTATACACTCAATAGAAAAACAGGCCGAGGATACAAACAGGCAATTCACCAAAGAATAAATGCAGGCACCCTATTAACAAAACAAAAAGCTAGCAATATTTTCAAGAAGACAAATTAAAGTTAAAATCACAATAAGAAACCGCTACTTGCTTGACAAATAGCCACAGATTTAAAACCGAGAACACCGCGTCTCGGAGTCGGTGTGAGGGACCCGGGTTTCCAGCACGCGGAGGCTGCGAGGGCTCGGCCTCCGGGGAGCAGTGTGGCAACAAGAATCAAGCCTTCGAAATGGACCTGCTTGTGGATCCAGCCCCTCCAGTCCTAGGACCTCTTTCTTTAGCCAACGGGGATTTGGTTAAATCAACCATAGCACATCTGTCTCCTTGCTAAAATCTTTACCAAAAACAATAAACTGGCTCCTCTGGAGGTGCTGATATGTAGGGAGATTGTTTTCTAAGAGCCTGACGCGGAACAGAACTCTCATTTTTGCCTTTACCTTCCTTACTCTAAAAAAAGGCAGACGACATTGGGCTCACTTTCTGATTTCCGAGTAGGACTCCACCCAGGCCCTCTGCATATTATCACGCCTGACGTTCCTCATGTGCCTGTCTGCCCTTCTCGACTTCCCCCGGGTCATCTCGGTCGTCCTCTTCTCAGAACGGTTGGGAGTATCAAGCACAGTGCTGGCTGTGCAGCAGGATCGTCACTTCCCTCTCAATCCTTCTAGACGCAGCGCAAACGTCGTCTCTGAGCCTAGCTCCCGGCATCCCTGGGCAGTCCTGAGCTACCTTCTCTTTCTTATTCGGCAGCGACCTGCTCTAAACATGGGGTGCAGTGCCGTCCGCTTTGAGCCTCAATCATCTGTTTGTGAGCCTGTCGCCCCACTAACCATGCATTTCTTAGAGGCATCTCTCATTTCTCCTGTGACTGAGTCTGGCGATCAACAGAGCACACAGGATATGGTAAATAGCTAATTGCGAAGAAGGGCACGAATCAATCAATCAATTAATCTACTCCAACATTTTCTGTTTCCCCCTTTGCTTCATAAAGACATACAACTTTTTTTCCCAAAAGATTTTCTCTTCAGTAACATATCGCTTTTAGAAAAAACAGTCCTCGAAACCTGGATGCTGGCAAAACCAGAGATATCAGGCAATACTTTTAGCGCTTTATATAACAAACTTTGGAAATGTTTACTTAATTTTATATCAGTGGACTTTCTTTTTGCCTTTCCTGCTATTTCAAGGAACAAAAAGTTAGCTCTCTGATCTCACCAGCTTTTGCAAATGATGATATGTTCTGGCAACAGTTCACCCTGGAAACCACGATCCAGTAGCTTTCCCAATATACTGAGAACTCAGGACAGAATATACAGCTTCGGATTATTTCTCTGGGCTTCTCCTAGTCTTTTCTCCTCCTTCTTTTTTTCTTGTCTTTTCTCAGGCTAGACTGAAAGCATACGGGTCATTTGTCCCTTTGTGCTTTTCCAGCTTTCTAAGTAAAGAATCTGGCTTTCTTTTATGTGGAAATGAAAATAAAACCTAAAAATCTTACCCCAGTCTGATGAAGTTACTTGGAGATAGCTAACTCACATACCTCATATTATTAACAACCGCCTGCCTTGGATAACATAAGCCAACCATCCGCTCCACGGCCGTTCCCAGCCTCTTTGGGAACTCTGATTAATCTCACTAATCACCTTGGATGAATAAAACTCGAAGTAACTCTGACGAATACTCAGGAAGTCTGGGTAAATCCCATTTTCTTTAGGGTTCTGACGAATGATGAGAAGTTACCAGTGAAAAAAAGGCAGTGGTGTGTGTACCTGCTTCTGAAGCTATCGGTGTTTTGGCAGTTGTGGTTCAATGGAAAATGCTTTATACTTAAAAGTCAGAAAGCCTGATCTGAGACTGTCACTTATAAGCTGTGATAGAAAGAGGACATACCTTATAACTAAGTACTATATAGATGCAACATAACCATTAGGAATAAGGGAAAAATAAAAAACGTTCAGGGAAAATTAATACTTTCTACTACCTTATTAAGCTTTCAAAAATAAAGTCCCTTAACTGTACATATTGGGGAGGAAAATGAAACATAACCCAACATGCTCTCTTCTCTGAGCAGTGGGGATCACAGTGCTTTCTCTTCTCCTTTATCTAATTTTCCTATTATGAATGTGAATTACTGGCATCATTTTTTTTAATTTAAAAAAAGTGAAAGAAGCCAGGCTCGCTTAACTGGGAGCAAAGGGAGACGCCAGCAGCAGCAGCACCGGTCCGGGCCAACGTGAACGCACAGCGGGGATGTGATGGGTCTCCCCATACTTGGTGCAGCTCAGGGACCAAGTGAGCACATGGGAATTCTGCCTTTTCAGCATCTTCAAACACCTGTCGCTTTACTTGGGCCTCATCAGCACCTTGTGATAAGTATAAACTCAGCACATTCTGGGTCTCAGCCAAGAAAAATGTCAACCTTGCTGGGCGAGCCATGAGCTGCCGGTTTAGGGATTAGGTTCCATCTATCGGCATGGGCATCTTGGGAGCGCCCAGACTCCTGCCAGGTGGCAGGCCTTGCGAATGTGGATGTGGAAGCTGAAAAAGAGCAACATGGAGTTCTCTGAAAACACTAGCGTCTGTCTGTCTGTCTGTCTCTGCCTCTCTCCCTTCTCTGCCCATCCCTCTCTCTCCTTCAGTCTCCTGAACACGCTGATCTCTCCACCTGGAAATTTCCTCTCCACATATGCCTGCTAGTCTGGCCAACACCTCCTGAGATGACTTTCACCTCCACCATGCAGCACACCTTCTTTGGCCCTCCGTGCTTACCCCTATCCTTCAGACCCTGTCTGTTCTCACCCCGCCCTAGACTATGAGCGTGTCCCTGGCTGGTGCCTGGCACACAGTCAGCTCTCAAGGATCTGCCCTGGGAATGGCCCGAGCCCAGCTGACTGGCTGGTAAGCTCAGCACACCTGCTCTGTCCACAGTCCTGTCCTCTTTGGCTTCCACTGCACAAATGACTTGGCTCTGAAAGCATGGATAAGCTCCTCAGGAAGCCTTTTCCAGATCCCACCAGCCCTCAGGGGGCTCCCCCCAGCCACTCCCAGCCTTCCCATCCAGCAGGAACCCTGCACTGCCCTGTGAGCGCCCCTGGAACTCTGTTTTCTTTGGAGGAAGGAGTAAGCCCCTGATGGCAGAAGCTGTATCTTAACCCACCTCCATTTGATACTCAACAAACATGACCCCGTGCCTACCACATTCCAAGTACCTAAGAGAATACCAGGATGAATAAGATCTGTTCCCTGCCCTCACAGGTGAACACAGACACACATGTGAGGGAGACAGGCGTGCAGGTAACATTTAAGTGACTTAGTTCTAATCAGGGCATCAGCTGGTTCTGTCAGGGTACTCTGTCTGGGAAACCCCCAGAGATGGGGTGCTCTAACCTTTCCGTTGGAAAACATACTCAAGAGCTATGCAGATTAGAATGGGCGGAACCAGACAGAAAACCTCATCCCCTACCCCAGAACAGGTCAGGGGCCCGAGAATAGGCTCCCAGAGCTCCTACACTGCACCTTCTATCCACACACTTATAACAGCCTGGCCAGGGTCTGACCTCCTTCCCCAAGTGTGGACTCCACAGAACCTCACAAGGAGGTCGTGCCCACCACTGTCCCCCTTAAGCCTACCTCAGCATCGGGGATACAGCTGAAGTCCAATAAACTTTGAGGAATGAGTCGATGGAAAGAAGTACAAACAAAAAGGACTTTTCATAAGAAATAAAAGCAAAAAGAAATTTGCAAAGCATTAATCTTTGCAAATTTCTTCTTCAAATTATCACTCCTACAGAATGCATCATCCCTAGGACCTTTTAAAGACGGGACAGGAAGAAAATATCAATGACCTCTAGACATGACCAGATCACAGTTTGCTGGCATATTTCCAGGCGACACCAAGTTGATCTTAACCTGGTTTCCCACCCCTCTTCTCAAGCCTCCACCTCCTGAGGACGAGTTTCAAAAGCGGGGACATTCTATTCTCTTCAGTGACTTCACTTTCTGTTTCCTTCTCAATCTCCCAACAAGTTCAAGAACTGACCACACTGCCCTCCGCCATTGTGTGTAAACATGGACATCATCATCCACAGTCAGGGGAGCAAACAGCTCGGCACCATGAGATCAACCAAAAATAACAGGTCCGCCCTGTCTAGTTCTGGTGCCCATTTCTGAGTGTCTAACAAAAACACCTTCATCCCTGGCATCTGTGATGCAGATGTCCGAGGAAGTGTCCTCACCTCTGTGGCTATGACAGTCATGGGACAGCTGCTGTTTCTCCACCATGAGCAGAGTAATGTCTGCTTGGTAACATTAGTCAGATTACGACTTGTGCTTTTAAATGCTGGTGGTTTGTTTTCTCTGGTGAGCCGGTTCTTCTAAGGCTGACTCCTCTGCCCCGCTCTGCAAGCAAACGTTTCCTTTTCTTTTACAAAAGCTCCTCTCTTCCCACAAAGACCTTGGGCTTCCAACGCTGGACTAGGCAGCGGGAGTGGGGCTGGGTGCCCACAAGTCCCAGACTGCGGCAATAAGTAGGTGGGGACTCTTCACTGAGGGGGGTCTTGAAGCAGAAGAGCACTGGCTGGTCACTTGTGAGTCCAGCAACACACAGGACATTATAGCGAACGGCTTTCAAAGTCCTTTCCTTTCCAACACCAGCATTCTGTTTGTCTAAATGGAGGGTGCCAAGTGAAGAGTGTGTTCGCTCATTCATTCAACAAGTGTTTGCTGAGCACCTCTTCTATGCTGGGCTTTAAGAGGCTCTGGGGATACGATGGAGAATAAGACAGACGTGACTCCTGTCCTCACGGAACTTCAGTGGAGCCAACAGACGTTAACCAAATAATCATAAATAATTGCAAAATTACAGCTACAATATGTGCAAGAAAGGAGAAGTGTGTGGTGCCATGAGAGCCCATGAGAAGGGGATCTGACCCACTCTGGAAGATTAGGGAGGCTCTCCTGAGAAAGTGCCTCTGCTCTCGCCTGGAAAAGTAGAGAAATAAGTTACCCTGCTCCACTGAGCTAGAGAATTCAAATATTTTAAGGTTTGCAGAATCACTAATGTCCGCCCTGAGCAGCGGTGAAGGTGCCCTGGCAGGCACTCGCCGGCGAGGGACCCAGTGGGTGGAAGCAGACTCCTCACAAACAAGGAGATCAGAAGGTCAGTTAAGTCCGGCTGCGCCCATCCACAGCAGCGGACACCCCTGGCTATGCAGCCTGGTTTTTAAAATGTTTATCTCAGGAACATTACAGAACAATTTTTTTTTTCAAAGACAGACAGAATGAGCTTGTGGATTATACTCACGAGGCATTCTCTCTTTGCATATAAAAGATATCGGAAGGAAGAGAAAGCCAAGGTTGGCACTGAGTATCTGTTGAATGGGTTAATAAGTAAATAAACAAGAACAAACTTAGACACGGAATAGTTTAAAGTCTAATACTTGGGTTCAGAGAAGTCAATTCCACAAACATAATGTGGGAGACTTTCCTTGGCAAATACTCCTCGAGTAAAAACTTAAAGGGGTTTAACTATCCACAGCATCACATGGGCTAGACAGCACTATGAAACGTCCTAAAAGCTAACATAACTGAAAGTTATATCAAGAAAAGCACAGTGCCCACTTGTCTAAAAATAATCTTCCTACTCTACACTTTACTTGTCAGGTCAGCCCTGGAGGATTTGGGCTCAGTTCTGGACATGATCTTCTAAGAGGGGCACTGGTGAACTTGGAAGCATCTAGAAGGTGCTGAGTATACAAACAAGGTGAAGTGAGGAAGAACTGGAGAACCAAGGGGGGGCGCCGGCAGAAGAGCAAACCTCTAGCATTTGAAGGCCTGTCACGTGAGAGAGCAGCAGCTTGTGCTGTCCCATCTTCAGGCCTGTTCCCAACCTGTCAACACCCGGGACTCCTACCTGGCTCCAGGGCTCTGACCCACCTTGCCCAGTGCTTCCCACATGGGTCTGTGGGGCAAGGTGTTACTAGATAGACCACAGAAAAAGAGATATACAGTGAACTATGTTTAGGTAAAACTGGACAAACAGGATTCCTTACAGTCGAATGTTTTAGAATCTTCAAATGTTAATATCACGGCAAACATCCAAGTTTCCCAATTTTCATTGAACCCAGAACCCTCTCACAGAACTAGTATCTTTCCACACACCCAAACACCCTGGGAACCCTTTTCTAGGCTTTTCTCTTTTCATTAGGCTCAGCACTGATACAGGTGCGCGAGGTTAGGAAACCAAACGTTAAGGCGTGGTGCCTGCCTTCAAATACAGCTTCCTCCCTAAAGAAGAACGATGAATACCAAGCCCGCCAGGAGACCGCTGGGGGCTTCACGGGAGGGAAGACCACCTCACAGGTTCACTGGGCATTCATCCAGGATCCCATGGAGTAACGGGCACCGTTCATATTTTATGAGGTAGGAAAGGACGACGCAGTGGCCTTGTATCCTCAGACCAAAGACCTAGCACCTTGGGAGATCATCTAGCCTTCTTTGTGGACACTGTTCAACCCCAGGACTCACCCATCTTTCTTAATACCCTCTAATGCTCTCAATTCAATTCATTACCAAGGCGTAGTGCCACTCCCTCAAGGATATTAAATTGCTTAGAACTTTGTGAACAGGTGTCTCAAATTTACCAACTCATTCTACCCACCCTACTCCCAGACTTGCTGGAAAAGAAATGAAATCAGGATTCTACTCTGTTTAACCTGCATGAATTACAACTCGATTGCAAGGCTGATAGAATGCTTGGTTTTGATCTTCTTCTCTTCACCAAAAGATGGAAGTAGAGTACTGAAGGACCAAGAAGATTTGTGCTTTTACTTCAAAATATTGGGTAGAGACTATCCGGAGGAGAGGAAATGTGGCCACTGAAGCACCTTGCAACCTGGCTGGAGACTGACAGGTGGGAGAGGGGTACACGCAAGTGGATGGTGGATAAAGAGAGGGACTGACGTGGGCAGGAAGGGGTAGTAAGAAAGGGCGCGGAGGTGGCACTTCAGGTCAATAGTGGGACAGTCAGAAACGAGGAGGGATGGCACAGAGGTTGGGGTCTAAGGGTCTTGGGACAGTCCCCAAAGCATCCCACGTTCCACTCTTTCGTTGTACCACAACTTACACACGCATCCTCATGGACAAGGACGTATTCCAATTTCTTGATCACCTCACAACTTAGTTCCACCCTAACGGTCTCCCTTCATTTAACCCTAAGAAATCACGATTTGTTGCCATAGAAAAGTTGGGTCTATTAAAGAGAAAGGCTAAATGCTGTGCTGAAACCTCCTCCTAAATTAAAACAAAAAACTAACTCCCTCTACTGCCCTTCTTCCCAGAAAGGAAAACATTTATAAAGGTTTCCTTGACCACTGAGAGAAGAAAATACGTTTATCATTCTGTTTAATCCCTACAGACTCAATGACCATGCTGCCAAAGAAGCCCCCAAACTTCCTGTCTCGGTAGACGGGATCCTCTGAAAGTAAAATTAGCCCTCCTGGGCTGTGGGTGCTCGCCGCTTTTCAAATGTGTCGCCGTCATCAGAGTTGTTATAAATAAACAGGGTCTTGATTAGGATACATGAGCTCCCGATGCTATTTCAGTGCCGCCTGAGCATCTAAGCTTTCACTGCAAGGCGTGTTTACAGGGAAGAAGCGGTCATGCAGGACTGCCCACTTACCGGTCCCGAAGCTCTCCTCCCCACACAGGGACAGCTTGCTTGCATCCATCAAATTCCCAAAAAACTTCCAGCCAGTTGGGGTCTCATACAAAGCGATCTTTGTAGCATTAGCCACCCTTCAAAGGCATGAAACCAAAGTTACATCACAACAGGAATGTCAGCATAGCCACGTGAGGGACGGAAAACAGCAACTGTTATCGTAACCAGGGGTCCCGTTGAGCACTGCTCAGAGGCCTGCATGATTCTAAGATTGGGGGGAAATTGTAAGAGAAAACTTGTGCACAATGGGCTATTATATGTGGAGTCAGAGGAGCAGGTAGGAGGGGAAGAAGAAAGAATTAATTCAGATCATTGAGTCTAATATTTCCAAAGACGCAACAGTAGCACAATGTGCCAGGCTGTTTCCTAAGGTACTGAGCTACAGGTGTGCTGGATACAGACTGCATCTACACCCACTGTACAAAGCACAGAAGAAGGATGTTTTGATGCACCTATAATCCCAGAATCAGAGGATACTGCGTCTAGGAGCTCAGCCTTTTAGAGGAAGAAAGGGCGTCTAGAAGGGGATGTGAACGGCCCAAGGCCACACAGCAGGATGACCAACTGCCCGCCACGGGCCGCCCATCAGTGCTCCTCTCAGCTCACCAGAAGGCCCCGCGGGACAGTGCCAGTGGGGTCTCCCAGTAGCACCAATGTCACCCACACTGATCCTTGCTCCCCCCTCCCAACACATGCTTTACTTCTCCCTACACTCTTTAGACTATTTAAAACCTTCTCTGAGTGACCTTTCTTTCAGATCCTTTTCCCTCTGAATAGGAAAGTACCCACAGTTCGTTCACTGCTGGAGTGGGGTTTCCTTTCCAGAATGCCCGCCTTAATGCTAGCAGAACAATGTCATGTTTACACTCTAGCATTTGAGGAAAACTAAATCTATGATTTTGAAAACTGAAAGTGCAATAAATTTTATCTGGGTAATGAGGTATTTCTGTCGGGATTCTCTATGTGGATTATCAATTTTTCCAAAAATTTGAATTAAACTGTCTTGGATGACACAGACGGTATTCTAAGACCAGACAGGTCTCACGCACAACAGCGTCATGGAAACCAGCTCGTGACTGCAGACGGACGCTATGGGGCAGAAGCACCAGAACTGGGAAAGCCTAGCTCTGATTTAGCTGCAATGTCCCAGACAAAACTCTAACGTCTGTGACCTTCCGTTTCCTCTTCTTTAAGCATCAGTTGAGATGGCGAACGTGAAAAAGCTCTGAGAATACTACAAACCACATACGAATGTCAGTCATCACTTTCCTGTTGGCTGAAGTGGAGTGAGCACTAATTCTGTAACACACCCCCACCCCACAATAGGAAACTACTGCACAGCCCGTGGTGGGGAGTGAGGGCTCTGGCTTCCATCCTGACTCAGCCCTTTACCAGCTGGGTGACCTCGGACAGGTTACTTAACTTCTTCATCCTTTTGTGTTCCCACCTGTAAAGGGGGGCTGCATATAGCATTCACCTCACGGGGTTGGTCTGAGAATTCAGTGACTTCAAACATACAAAGTACTTAGCGTCTAACACAAGGTAATGTTCAATAAATATGAGCTGTTATAAGAGCCTAGATACACACATTCTACTTTCTTCTCCAACCTTGACATTTTGTTTTTTTGGTGAGGAAGATTGGCCCTTAGCTAAGATCTGTTGCCAATCTTCCTCTATTTTGTATGTAGGGTACAGCCACAGCATGGCTTGATGAGTGGTACACAGGTCCGCACCCAGGATCAGAACCCGCAAACCCTGGGCTGCCAGAAAGGAGCACACAGACTTAACCACTACACCACCAGGCTGGCCCCAAGACCTTGACCTTTTCTTCATTGACTCATTCTTTATCCAATCATTCCGCAAATGTTTACTGGGCCCCTAACATGTCCTCATTAATATTCTCCCTAGTCCTCATTTATTATTTATTACTCATATTTTTAAATTGTCTTGGGTGTAAATGAGGTGATATATAATAAATAAATAAACAGATAAGGAAATTGAAGATCAACTGTCTATGTCGCTGGGTCCTCTCTTTCTCATAAGAATTGAATGCAATTTTTTTAACTGTTTGAGCTTCCTGTTTAAGTAGATTTTGGATCAATGAGCATTTACTGTGTCTGTGTGTGTGTATCCGCGGATGGGTGGATGAGGAACGTTTCTCTAAAAGTTCCCCGGAACACCGATCTCACTCCAAATTGCTCTTTTGCCCAAACTCTGCACACGCTGCCAAAGGAAGCGATTCCCCAGAACATCTTCCCACAGCAGAAAGGCCACCTACTCATCCTCATTAACAGTCAATCATTCATTTCCTAGATGATGTGTGTGTGTCCTACTGTGTGCCGGGCACACGGAGGTCAGGCAGAGTTTGGGACACTGAATCGGACAGTCCTGTCTCCGCAGCAGTCTGCAGTCGAGCAGGGCAGCCCGTCCAGTGAGCCGGCGCTCGGATCGGGGGTAAGTGCTGGATGGAAGGGAGCACGGGGCGGGGGCCGTGTAACCTGGAAAGCACTTCACCGCCCGGCACGGCACAAGTGCTATTGAGCACCCCTTGTGCACACGTCCTCGCTGAAAGGGGAGGAAGAGAGTCCCGGCCCAGAGAGGGGCCCGGGGGCCCGAGGGCATGCAGAGACCTACCGGTCCAGGGCCCCGCTGGTGGGCATGCTGCGTGCAAAGCCGCGGACCCCGGTTTGCTGGAAATACGGAATGCTGAAGATGTTGGCAGCAATGACAGCCACGGAGTCTGAGGGGTTCACGAAGAACCCATGCTTGCCCAGAATCATGTTTCGATCCTTTGGGAGAAGGGGAGTCAAAGGAGATCTTTCAATCAAACTGCTGAAGAAACCAAATTCTCTTACCTGGGGGTCTATAAAACTCAGAAGGATGACGTTTACAACGGATACATTTACTCATACTGGGTTCTAAACACTGGACTTTGGTTCTAATGGATCCGTGAGGGCCACCGGGCCAAAGGCACCCCCACACCAAAGAGCGAGCACTGTTCTCAATTAAGGAGCAAGCCGACACCGCTTCTGGGCCGAATGCTCTGCTCTTCCTCCAGCCGACTTTAACCTCCCAGAACGTTTCCAAACTCGGGAACCACCAGCTCCCCCCCAGGAGAGAGGAAATGTCAGCTGTTTACAGAGTTTGGTATTAATCGTAGAGAAGGAATAAAAGGTTAATTCTTTTCTTGTAGCTTCAGCATGCAGCTAATGTGAATGAACGGATGGGTATATTATCAGTCCAAAACCCTTTCCAGAGACTGAATCAGGAGCCAGCTGCCGGTCGAGAGCAGAAACCTACCTTAGGATGGGCGTCGAGAACGCAGCCAGCTCAGGAGCCGCCAGTCATTGCGTCATCCCCCGGCCCTAAGCACCCCACCCCCTCAGCAAACACAAATGTCTAAATCAAACACGTGGGATACATTTCAAGGGCTCTTCTCCTGTTCAAGAGGGTCCTCTAACAGTAAGGCAGCTCTGACCCCAGGCACAGCGAGGGAGCCCTGACCGTCGCCCACTAGGCCCAGAGGGTCTGGCAGACGCAGCCCACTGTCCCTCTCTGGAGGATCTGGCCTGGCCCGCCCCAGTTCACTTACACGCGCTTGGACTCACCCCATCTCCATCAAAGGCGGCCCCAAAGTCGTGCTCCCCTGTCTTCATGGTCTCCACCAGGTCAGCTGCGTAGGTGAGGTTGGGGTCGGGATGGTGGCCCCCAAAGTCCTCCAGGGGGACGCAGTTCACTGCCGAGTTTGCGGGGGCGCCCAGCTCTTCGCAGAGGATCTTCTTCACGTACGGCCCCACAACTATGTGAAGCACGGAATAAAGAATCAGGAAACAACTTACTGGAGCGTGTGAGGATCGGGGGACGGGGTCGGGGCGTTCTGGGGAGAACGGCATGAACAACAAGGAGAACGTGCGAACCGTGTTCTGGGCTAGCGGAGAGGGAAGGCCGGCTGGAGTCGAAAGGTCTACAGCAGGAATAACGAGAGGTCGGGACGGGAGGGGTGGGGCCAGTCGATGAAGGAAAGAGCGGGGCAAGGAGGAGGCTGACCACAAGGAAGGCCCTCCTGCACACCTGTGCCAGCTGCTGCTCAACCACCTTCTCACTCATCCTACAGAAAGGCCCACGAGGTGGCACAGTTCAGTGTTTAAGAGCCTGGAGTGTCTGCGTTCAAATCCCAGCTCTGCCAATCATTGGCTGTGCAACTTTGGGAAAGTGATTTAATCTCTCTGTGCCTCCATCTGCCCCATCTGCAAAATGAGGATATAGTGGTAGCTGCCTAACAGGGTTGCTGTGAGGATCAAGTGCGTTAATAGACAGGAAGCACTGAGAACAGCAGTGCACGCATGTTCTAAGTGTTGCATCGTGACGATCACCTCCAATTTAGGGACAAGAAAGCAGAGGTTCTGAGATGAAGCTTTTCACCCAAACTTACCCAGCTCGTAGGGGTGGGAGCTGGGATTCAGAGCCCTCCTCTTTCTGCTCTAGCCAGCTCTCTGACAAACTGATTAAAAGAATACAAACAAACGAACAACAGAACAACAAGGAGCAAGAGGAAAAATGTCACCTACTTTATGGTGACATCTGCTATACCCACCAAGAACGTTCGTCTCTAAAATCCTGAGAAGGCACAGCCTGACACCAGCAGACGCCACAGAGGTCAGAACAGTCTAGAACACGCGTCTCCCATTAGGGGCCACATGGGAAGGGGGCCAAGGACACAGCACAGAAGGAGGTCAAGGCAGCCAGGGCTGTGAGGGCACTGAGAAACTGAGGCAACAGGGGAACCGAAAGGCCTGCCGAGACGTCCACTTCGTGGCCAGCTTCTCCTGCCAGCAGCGCATCACAAGCCCCGGGCCCGAGGCAGCCCAGGCTCCTCCTCAGTGCCCTAAAGCGATGTCTGTTTTTAGGCCTTTGCACAGTTGCTGCAGCCACTGCCTCAGCTGGGAAAGACCAGCATGTGACCTCCCGCCACCCTAGACCCCTCTTCTATCAAAGCTGAGCTGGCTGCCGCTTCTTCCAGGAAGCCTTTCTTGACGCCCCTACTCAAACGAGGCCTTCTTCCCCACCCCAAAGGGGATACTGGAAATCCTGTCTGCCTCTCATTTCGTTGGCCTGGTAGTGGGGAGTTTTCGTCCCCCTCATCTCCCCAAGCGTCGAGAGCTCCTTGAAGGAAGCCGTCAGCTGAGGCCCTGCCTCCCCCGCAGCACACATGGGGAAGGCACTCAACACAGGTCTCCTGGATGGTCTGAAAGGACAGAAGAGCTTCTGTCTGAATGAAGAAGCAGACCTGTTCTGCAGGGTCCCAGAGGCAAGCTAGGACCCAAGAGGAGAACCCGGGTCCCAGGGACGGGAGACGTCAGCCCACCAGGGGAGGACTTCTAGCCACGGTTTGCAGTGCAGCAGCGGCCCCGACAGCAGCCTCGAAGGGTTCAAGCACAAGCAGGCAGCTGGATTCCAACACCAGCGAAAACCCTTGCCACTCAAAGATTCTAAAATCCTAAATTATTACAAAACCAATAAAAAACATAAGCACTCAGGAATTCCCATATTCCTACACGGAAGAAAATCTTATGCTTCTCGTTCACAATGACAACTGCCGTCTCTACCAACCTGGCCACACAACCCAGAAGAGGGGGAGACACAGATCCTATTGTTCCTGAATTTAATCCTCAGCTTGCTCCTGTCCTCGTCTAAGAAAAGGCGCATGTGGGGGCAGACGAGCGGGGGTGTGGGGCTCAGGAGCGTGTTTACCACATCTAGCAAATGACGACCGCCCCGGAAACACATGGGGCATTGAGGAAGAATGTAAGGTATCTTCTGAGGGGGAGGAAGTGTCCACAAAAACTGGTGCATGTTACTCAAAACCTGATGCTTAACGCGGAAACACTGACCTTCACACTAACTTCCCACGAGGAACGTCTCCGTTATTTTTGCTGCACATGATTAGATTTTTATCTACATGAACATTGCTCTGAAATGGCCGCAAAATAACTGTTTAAAAACCGCCAAACAGAGAGAGTCTTAAGAAAAGGCTTGTAAAAGCATCATGATACACATGGTGGAGAGCAGCTTCGCATCTGTGAGAGAAGGGAATGGAGGAGAAACGGCTCCATACCTCCATGCATGGCATCTATACGGATCTTCAGACGGTTTGGACCGGAAAGTAGTTCTTTCAGTGCATTGAAATCAAAGATGTTTCTCAGCATCGTAGCATAAGCTTCCACCGAGTCCACAATTTCCACTGTGAAAACAAGCAACATTAAAAGATGGAGGAACTAAACGCATTTAGAAATATTACCCTGTGAGACGATTACATTGCTGTAAACATGCAGTAGTTATTTCGAAAGGACAATTATCACGCCTCCAATATGCCAGGGCTGTTACATGGTCTCTTACTCAATACTAACAGCTTTCCTGAGAGGTAAGTGTCCTTAGTCCTATTTTATAGATGAGGAGGCTCAAGTTCAGAAAGGTTAACACCCTGCCCACCGGCCTGCGATGGGCACAGGGCATTCTCACGGAGGTCTGCCCGGCAGTAAGCCCTGCCATGCCGCCACATCGACTCCTTGTCCTTCTCCAAGACAGGTGCCTTTTGGTGTCATAAATAACAGAAAATATAACACCTACTTTCCTTTCTCCAGGCCCACTGGCATCAAGACTTAATGGTAAAAAGCAGAAAAAAATTTTTTAATGAATCGCTCCTCACATACACTGCTAAAGGAATAAAAGAAACATAACTTCGTACCGTTGTTTTTGTTGTTGGATTTTCAGGGGTGTGAATGTTTTCAAAACATTAAGAATTTAAGAAATTCTCTCCTGGTGTTTTCTAAACCCTGAGAACGTCTTAACGATGAACCAAAGCGCCGTTTCTCTTCCTTAGGAAGTGGCCGTCAGCTCTCGATGGGCGGTTCAAACGAAACACGTTCCGTGAAGCCGCGGTCCGGAGGACGGATACGCGTTAGAGCAGAGTCAGAGCTCAGGCTCACTGCCAAGCCTCTCGGCTTTGTTCATCAATATGAATCACTCGATAAACACTGACTCTACCAGTTATCAGCAGTCCACAACAAAGTGTTTACCACCGCTGCCTAACACGGAGTTTCAATTTAGCCCCAAAACGGTCTAACTTGATTTCACTGAATATCGGGGCAGGAATAACAAAGTCGAAGTGCAGGCTCGGGGACCACTGGCACCTGAGTTGGAACCTGGCTCGCTGCACCCCGGCTACGTGACTGGAGCCTGCTCCCCAGGCTCGCTCAGCCTGTGTCTCCCCCTCTGGAGAAAGTGCTTCCCTCACAGGGCCACTGCGAAAAGGAAACGGGATAACGCATCTCAGAGCTTGGCCCATAATAAAAGCTCAGACAAGTTAGCTGTGAATGTCATCTTACATGTCTTCTCGTCAAGGGCGTTCATGTTAAAGGTGTGGAGACCGAGGCCCAGAGATTTGGAAATGACTGGCCCCAGGTCACACAGCTGACCCCTGGCAGGGCCCAAGTGCCCAGATCTCTAGACGTTGAGACCAGCTAACTAATGCACGCACAGCCTGGTGAGCACAGTCGTCCCAAAGCTGAAGACCCATGTTAACGAAACCTTGAGAGGCAAATCGCTCACGCTGGAACTAGGAATGGGCGGGATGGGAAGGAAAGTCCACGTGCCTGTGAAGGGTTTGAACTTGTTTTCCAGGTCAAACTGCTGCTTTCCCAGGACTCCGAGGTCTACTTTCAGGTCAGGGCAAATGGCATATTCTTCAATCGTCTTGCTGATTTGGAAAATCTTATCAGTTATGGCTTCCGGAGCAGGACCTGGAAATCAAACAGCAAACAGTGGGTCATTTTGCGCAGCTGACCTGGAAACGGAAAGAACACCAAGCTCATCGATTCCTCTTCACTAGCACATCTGCTGCTCCATCATCAGGCCGCAAAGTATCAGGATTTTCCAAAAGAAAATATTATGTTAATGATCTTCCATGCATGGCTCCTCACGTTTGGGTACAGCAGAATGAGAAGAATTTCATTTTCATCAAAGGGAAACAAAGAACCTCCTTGCTAAGGATCAGAACCAGAATCCTGGCCTCCCAAGGCCTCAGTTATTGGTTTATCTCACTGAACATAAAATTCACCGTCTTCCAAATGACAGCAAACTCACCTCCATTGGAAATATTGAATTTGATTCCAAAGTCTCCATTGGGCCCTCCTGGGTTGTGGCTGGCTGTCAGAATGATCCCACCAATGGCTTTGATCTTCCTAATGATGCAGGACACAGCAGGGGTGGAGAGGATTCCATTCTGTCCAATAACCAAGCGGCCAATCTAGGAGAGGAAGCCAGAGCACACACTTTCACACCAATAAAGGCAGCGCTACTGCACAGAAACACCAGAACGGGCGGACGGACAAAGCAATACTCTGCTGGACCAGAAAAGATGTTCTGCTGCAAATGTCTACAGCTTGGGTTCTTATTATTATTATTATTATTATATTAAAGTAGAATATTGTTGTTGTGAATAACATTGCGATTGGAGTAGAACATGCATTGTTGACAAAGCCATTCCTCTGGACAGTCTGTGGGATTTTGCCATTTCAGGACAGACCGTGATCTGGGGGTCTGTAAGGCTCTGGCAAGAAAACACTGAGTATCCCCAACAGGGCCTGTCCAGACAGGTTCACAATTTGGATACACCAAAAATTTGTGAGAAAACCCACATTTATATCCAGTTCAATCATACTTTCAATCTACATTGGGAAAGAAGATATAAGTTGAACTAGTTAAAGGAATTCTAACCCAAAGATAAGGTGTTTGTAAATTAAAATGTTTGGAAAAGTTAAAAAGGGCAAACTTTATATGACGAATATTACAAAATATATCTCATAAATTCATGTTTCCAGCCAAGCTTAGGTTTTGATATGGTTGGTTCCCTCAAAGCAGAACACACCCACGCATGGTAGGGTGACCCGGGGTTACCACCTGGGCCCAAGGCAGGGAATGCTGGGAGTTACTGGGTACCAGTCAGACCCACCTACACAAAAGGCTGCAGGTGGGACTTCTGTTACCTTCCCATACCTCTCACAGATGGTATCAGCACAGCTCCTGATCTTTCCTCGCTAAAATGACAGTAATTTATACCTGTTCCACATAACCCAAGTTGGAAAAGAAGAAAGTTCCTCTGACACACTTGGAGAAGACATGCCTGCTACATAAAGAGATTTATAAAATGAGGAGTTTGTGCCCTCCCTCCGTTATCCCTTCTGAGAGAAGAAAAAGACAGGAATGATTTTAAATTTTCCATTTGTTATTTCTTTTTGCCCCATCCAAGATAAATATGGTTGAAGAAATGACTTATGGTGGAAGATGTGTTTCATATGTTGAAAACGCCAATAAGATACCTGGATTCCCTTGGGAAAGTTTTTCTGGGATTGTCATCTTTGCCCACCTCCCTCAGCTCACTGAGAACTTGACTGCCTTATAATTCAACCCTCCTCTGCCAACCACCCCCCAGGAAGCAGCTGCTTCATTTCATCACCTCTTGGCTCTCATACGTCTCTCTCCAAACAACTTTCATTGTGCTAATGTATGTTCTGTCCTGCCTCCCTCAGGACCAGGGGAGCCGCTATAACTAGGCTCCTTTCTAGACTAGAGGAGCCTGCAGACGGTATGAAATCAATATTAATGATTATTACTGAGCTGTAGTGTGCTTTCTGTAGCCCAGGGCACTTTCAATTCAATCTCACATTTGCTCCTCCAAGTACCATTGTGCAGATGAAGAAGCTGAGGTCCAGAGTCGCCATGATTCTGCCCATTCGTTCATTCTTCATCCATCAAGCAGCAATAAGAACAAGCAATGATGAGAAGGTGCTATGGTGGACACTGACTGAGATAGATGACAGGACAAGGTCCCATGGCAAATTAGTGGCCACAGGTGGGAAAAGCATTGATACCTCCTGATTCAGTACAGTGGGAACAGTAGCATCTCACCCTTCCAGCAGGTTCCAGGTGTGGTTCTGCTAAGAATATAAAAGTCTGTGGTTGAGCAGTTCCATAATTTTGATAGGAGGGGTTTAGAGATGGCAATTTACTCAGCCGGAGTGGCTGGGGAGCTATCTGGAAACTGTATTTGCACATCAAGAACATCGACTTTCACTTAGATTCTTTCTGTATTTGGTGTGGAAGGGGAGAGTGGTAAATGACTATTAAGCTTTGCTACCCCAGGCACCCTGAACTCTACCATTCCTTATGGTGAGATCTGCAGTCAGTGATAGTCCAAGACTGAGGGCATTATACCAGGGGAAAGAATAAGAAAGCAAGTCAAGAGACAGAGCACGGGAAGTCCATGATAGCTCCTTTCTCTTGAGCCAAGAAGAGGTGCAGCCAGCACGCCAGCCCCTTCCGGAGCAGACCCTTTCCTACGAGTCACCCCCAGCCAGGCATCGGGGAGACGGTGCCCTCCTTCCCTGAAGGATGTCTGCAGCACTGTGACAGCTCCTGCCTCAGTGCCCCCTCCTCTACCCTGGCAGAATCGATCCTACCTACTCAGGCCCACCTACTTCATCTTTCTAAACCATAGTTCAAACCGTGTCCCTCCTCAACTCAAAACCTTTCCTGCACCACATGATCCAGAAACTCCACCTCAAGGTGTAGACACAAAAAGAAAGCAGAGACTCAAACAGATAACGTACACGCCCATGTTCATAACAGCATGGCAGACAACAGCCAAAGATGGGAACAAGCCAAATGTCCAGCCACAGACGAATGGATAGACAAAACGTGGTCCATACACACAAGGGAGCATTACTCAGCCTTAAAAAGGAAATTCTGACACATGCTACAACATGGATGGATCTTGAAAACATTGTACTAAGTAAAGCAAGCCAGACAGAAAAGAACAAGTATTTTATGATTCCACTTACATGAGGTACACAGAATAGGCAAATCCACAGACAGAAAGTAGAAGAGAGGTTGCCAGGGGCTGGGGGGAGGGGAGAAGTATAGGGTTTCAGATGGGGTGATAAAAAGCTCTGGAAATGAATAATGGTGCTGGTTGCAGAACTTTGTGAATGTAATTAATACCACTGAATTGTGCGCTTAAAAATAGTTAAAACACTAAATTTTATGTTACGTATACTTTACCACAAAAAATAAAAATTAGAAAAAAAGAAAAGTCCTTGCCTGGTTCCCAGCCTGGCCGGCGAGCCCCTCACCCAGCAGCCTCTGCCGCCCTTTCCTCTCCCATACTCCCTTCCACGTGACTCAAGTCATGCTGCCAAACTGGATGCCTCACTGTTCCCCCAACACTTTACAGTCAAACATGACAGGGGCAAATTTTAAAGTATTCCTTTTAATTGAAAATAGGGCCTGGTGTTTTTTTATGTTTCACAAAAAAAAAGTTTCATTTTCTTTGCCTTGCTGGTCATACGCGTGGGTTCTATTCTCATGTCTAAACATATCACTAAGTTTAAGTTCTGGGGACCAAATGAGGTATCAGTATTATAAATGGGGCCCCACCAATGTCTTATTTTGCACATTAAAATTTCCTGTAAATGCAGACAGCTCTATGCAAATAAAAACAAAGGGACACTTCTCACAAAGGCAGATTATAGTCCACAATTCATAAATGCACCAGGTAAAAGTGTGCTGAAGAGAAGAAATGAAATGATCTCCATCTCGCTCACTAGGCTAACAAGTTCTCCAAGCACGGCTCACGGTGGAGTGGGTCTCCACCCGGGGGAGGAAGGGACATCGCCTCTACCAACACCTGTGGCAATAAATTAGCTTTCCTTTACATTCCTCCTCAGAGTTCTGTCCAAAATCAAAGGGATGTTAAAATGGCCAGAACTTAGGATGCGTTAGAAAAAGAAGAAATCAAACTATATAGGATTTGATGGGTTTTATCAGATTAAAGTGTTTTATTGGTCCACTCAATGTTTTAAGTAATTCAGTTGCGGAGCATGACTGCTTTAAATGCAACGCTATTTTTAATAAGCAATGTCCTTGAAAAGACTTGGAAATATTGCTTGGGCTGCCACAGCGCTAACAAATAGGCAGTTACCATATTTAGTCAATTATTATCACTTAAATGTATTATTTAGCAAACCTGCAGATCGTAAATCCGAGGAAGTCTATAGGGTCTGCCTGAATTACACATTCCTAGCACCTCTTCCACATCCTTCAGCTCTACACAAAAATGAAATGAAGCCAAATATATCACAGCAAAGGGGACAGTGTCCCAGAGCCACTCAACAATCTGGATCTATGCGGAGAAATAATGTTCCACTCGTTCTCTCTCCAAAGATGAAAGCATCTTAATATGGCTCCCTGTACAGCTCTCCTCAAAGGTGAAATTTACAGCATGCCACACTTTATCTTAAAAATGTGTATGCTTCATAATAATTTCATATCGGAGCGCTTGATCTGCAATTTTTACATGAGAGGCATTCAGATTCTGAAACTGGGTGGAAAGGAAACCTTGCATTATAAACAACAGGATCTACAAACACTTTTAAATTTAACTTGGTGGTGTGTGTGTTTTTTTTAATTTGGCTTTTGCAATCACACCTGCTTGGCGTATTATTAAAATAGACTCGAGATAAACGCCTGACACATTTGGCTGCAATGCTAAATTTTCTGTTCACTTCTAGAAAGGAAATACAACATATTTTTAAATTTACGAGCACTCGAGGACCGTGTGCTCCAAATTATTGATAAACGTAATCTAAAACACTAAAAAAATATATTTTTGGTCCTGCGGAGGAATTTGCAGAGCAAAAACAGGAACGTCCTGATGCCCACCTTCCCGTAAATCTGTGGGATTGTGTAAATTGTTAGATTATCAAAATCAGTGCTTTCAGGTGCAAGATTCCTTCTGATTTGGTTAATCCAGCCACACAGCTGTTGACGATGCCGAGCTGTAGGAGACTCCTTCTGTTACAGACTCACAGGGGTTATTCTCTCTAGCCTGCTGCACAAATTCACTGCACACAGGGCTCCTCTGTGCCCAAGGTCATCACGAGCAGGTCCCCTGTAACAGGTCCTCTTGGAAGGCTCACCCCTAACACGTTCCAAGCCCCTCCTAGCATTTCTGCACGGCTACCAGGATCCACAAACAACAGCATGCCCTGGCTTTTGTATCCCTGTTTGACAAGTGACTGAACTTCAACAAGGAAGCCATTGAAAGAAAACAAAATCCTCCTCTCTCCAGTACTCGACAGAGCCTGCTCACATAGGACAGGCTGCCCCTCGAGACCAGTTAGAACATAGACAAGACAGCTTAAGGCAGAGGTGCACCTTAAATGTCTAAAAAGCAACAAGTACTTTTTCAAGCAACAGGCACAGAGCACAACACACAAGCAGCTGATCTCACGTGATTTCAGGAGCAAGATCACAATACACCGTCTCCAAAGTCACAAGGAAATTAACTGGACATTAGTAGAATTCAGGTGTCTACAACATACAAATCCTGGTACTTTTATCTATTTCTGCAAAATTAAGAGGTTACGTGGAGAGCCAGAAACACAACAACACTTATTGTATACCAACCCCATTGGCGGCTGCCATCTGCACTATTGTTTCTATTGCCGATTTATTAAAATACCGCCCATCTCCACCAACCACCAGTGACGACCCCTGGCGATCTTTTAGGTCTATGGAAAAGAATATACTCTGGATGAAATTCTCCAGATAGCATGGCTTTTCCTCAAAACAAAAGGTTTTCTTCCGTAATCCACTAGTTCCTGGTTTCTGGTCGTAGTAAGGAGCTGTAGCAAAAGTCAACAGAGGGAGAGGACCTTCTTCCATTTTTCTGTATTTCCCAGAAATCCATTCGTCAAAATCACTCATCTTTCCTTCCCAGAACGCGGCTCAGCGAGGATGTCCAGAGAGCTATCCAGAGTCCCCAGAATAGTCTGTCCAGCCCCGAGCTGCAACGGTGTTGTCTGAGTGGCTAAAACGGAGGTCCTGCCTGGACATGCACTCCCGACGAGGAAGCTGGCTTGTTCCTGGTTGTTGTCGCCCCTCTGGAAAAAGTTAAGGGCCACACACCCACCCACACTCACGCACAAAGAAGATCTTCAAAGTTGTTTGGATGAGGACACCTGCCCACATAACCAAGCCGAATACCCTTCAATTATGTTTGTCTCGTCTCCCCGTTAGGGTGGAGAGAGCTGCAAAGGGTGCTGCGGGCAGCGGACTTCAGTCGCCAGCAGCAGAGGGCTGCCAGGCTCCACTCTCCGAGCCCGGGCGCAGACAGGCAGGTGCCGTCCCAAGAGGCAGGCTCACGCCCTGGACACCGCAGTGGCCCTCGCCACTCCTGACGCCCCTTAAACCAGGAGCCTCTCTGGGCATTCCTCACGGAGAAGGCCATCTTCAGCTAAAGTTGCTCCACACCGTCCAGCAAGTTAAAGGTCAATCTTAAAATGGAAGCGCGGGATCTGTTACCCCCGGTTTCCTTACATCACTGTCATTTTGATACCCAGGGGATTTCTTACTTCCCACACGCAATCCCAGTTAGAAGAAAAAAAAAATCATCTAACAGCACACATTTATTCATTGGCCACTGAAGAAATAACAAAGCAGTATTCCATCCTGGAAGAACAGATGCCTACAAACACACGGTGGGGCACCAGCACCTCGTCATCCCCTGAAACTCAGAGAAACGTGGGGATGAAGACGCACCAGATTCGCCCGAAAACGGAAGCAGGACAGCGGGGAAAAGTATGTTTTCCTGAGTGCATGAGGTTTCATCAAATTATTATTCGGAAAAATAGTATGAACATGAGGTTAAATTTTGTGTTTTAATCTCCTGAGTTTTAAAAACACTTGACTTTTTACGAAAACATTTTCAGTGAAGCCGTCTAGGCCCTTCGCATTTGAAGAACCTGACATTTGAAAACTTTCTACCTGAATAAAGTTAATATCCAGCCGCATTTGATCCCTGAGATGTTGGGAATAATCTACTTAAATGCAGACATGCTCGCTCTTTATCTGGTTCAGCAGAAACTCCCAGTTAAGAAGCTCCAATGTCAAGGTTTTGGTGAACTTGTTAAGATGGTTGAAAAGTAAACCAGGACTAGTTACCCCACACATTTGGGGAGTTTGTCGTGCACAGAGGAGTCAAGGTGTTCAAGGGAAAAGTGAACGATGCCTTGAGAAATGAAATTTAAGTATTTTTCTACCAACTTGTCAAGCAAAGTCCGAAAGCGAGAGGAGCAGCATCCCCCCGCCAAGGTAGCACTGCCCCTGTGTTCCGGGCTGCTCTGCGCAGGAGCAGCAGAAACTGAGGGCCCGGGAACAGAAAGCGGGACACTGGCAGGTCAGCTGCGCTCCCTCGAATGACAAAAGGGGCTGGCTGTGCGCAGGGACAACCTGGAGACACACATGAAAACGATTCACGAGACACGTCTGTTAAGTTGAAAACCAGTTGCCCAAAAGACGATTGCTTTTAATAGCTTATTTTTGCCTCTTACTTGGTTTTTAAAAATAAAATGTTTTGCAAATTAATTTACGAAATAAACTTGCTTTATTAACAGTAGTTTACACGCCCACTGTTTTCCAACTTGCTACAAACGCATCTTTGTATTCATATTCTTTAGGTTCAGTGCCAAATTTTTCTCTGGTTCTAGATAAGCCTGCAAATGAGGCCAGCATTTGTGTCTTGATATATTTAATAATAGATTCAGATTTATGAAATAGCCCAGTAATTTTTTCATTGAGAATAACAGAGCAACCAAACACGTAATTGGTAGTTTTCTTAATGACATCTTGAAATTCCAGGGGAGATTCAGGGGCCTCTGGTCACAGGTGCTCCAACACCCCGAAACAAAGCTTCTCTGCCCACACATTCCAGCATGTTCTCCACTGGTGGGCTGCCGCTTTCTCGGGGAAGTTCTTTCTAGAGCTGGAACCAGGAGAGCCAACTTTTGTTGCGGTATTCTCCGCACATTTATTTTATTTACAGTTTACAGCTAATGCAATCAATCCCATTAAATGAGAAATTACAAAGGATCAAGGCATCATCATGCAAATTCAAAACAGATATTCAACACAAAACGTACAAGCATGAAAGCCAGTTTCTTTGCAGGATGAAATCCAACAGATCTTGTTTCAAAGGATGCCAAACACCTGCTTTTCTTCTTGGAGACCGAGGCCACCTTAGATACTGAACCTCACCTTACGCTTACGGGTCTGTGTTCATGTGAAGCAAAACTTGTTTTTTTTTTCACATTGTAACTGTTGTAAAAGCTATGTTTTTCCAGAATTAAGCCTGCTCACAAGCCTAGTACCAGTTTCTAACTACGTAAAACAGATTGGTACAGAAAGTATTCCAAATGTAATTATTCTGATACTCAAAGGTTAAAAAAAAATTCTAAAGTAGTTTAAATAAATTTATTGCAAACCGAACAAGGGTGGCGCTCATCCAGTTTCAACTTCCCAAATACTTGATATGCCATCCTGGGGTTGATTATTTTGTCTGCCTCTTAATCTCAAGATCTTTAAATATACTTGCCCAGTAGATCATGTCCATATGTAAAAATTTCTTTAACCCAAACAGAAATAGATATCAGCGTTTGAGCATCAAGAGGTCGCACATGTCCAACCTGTGGAGTCAGGTCACAGGTGGACCCAGAGCCCCTCTTGACAGGAGTGTCTGTGTGGGCATGCGCACCTTTCCACTTCCCTGTGGATGACCAGCCTCACGGCCAGGCGTGGACTGGGGAAGATGCCCGCCTCTTACGGCTTATGCCCATGTCAATGAAAACCCAGCAATTTAAGTGCGCACCAAATCTAAGGCCCAGACGAGAGTTCTGTACCCAAAACCAGAGAGTAACGTTTTCAGCAAATGCATATGTCTGGAATGGTGTCTGTCAGTCTGCAAAACTAAGCCCAAAAGATAATCCTTGCCCTAGAAAAGCTTCTATTCTAAAACTGGGCCTGAGTCCTAATTTTATGGACACTATAGAACTCAACCCCATATAAAAATATTACCTGAAGCAGCAATGTTAGATGGACTGTGAAGTGTGGTGAAAAAGAAGAGGCATTAAAACATTAAGCTTCCTAAGACGCTCAGACGAAGTGGGCTGCTATTAAGAAACTCATTTGTTTTAGCTCTCCAGCAAAGGTTGAACTTCATCTTCGGAAACCTTACTGTCGAGCATAGCGAACCCAATTTGGCCTAATGAATTCGCCTGCGTTGCCAGTACTCCTTCACAATGACACAAATTACATTTAAACCATATGGGGGATTTAAGGATTACTCCCTTCAGAGGAGGAACTTTCATGCCGGTCTTGGGTCCAATCAATTTCACAATGGCAGAGTTACGACGGACCCCTTCGCTCCCGGCCTTGCAAAGATTCCAGCTCCCATTGCCATCAGCAGTGACACCTTCCTGGTAGAAGAGAGCAGAAACTGTAGACCTGCCAATCCTCTATTCATTCTATCTTTTTTCCATCAATAAATATTTATCGGGTGGTTAACTACTGTGTCCCAGGGCTCATGCGAGGGCTGTACCGAGGGCCTGAAGGGGTTCCCCTCTTCACACCAAGAGTTCATCTTTAGCACATGCCACACCAGTGGGCATAGGGGACGGAACTGCCAACCCTGTCTCTGAGTGCAAGCACTCGAAAGAAAGCTAAAAACTTGGCTAAAGTCAGCAGGGATCCGCAGACCCCCAACTGAGGTCCTGCTCTTCGACAGCTGCAGGTGCCTGCCTCTGATTGCTGGGGTGTCTGATCCCAGTGGTGGGAAACAAGCTGGGAAAGAGTCATTCATTTCTCCAACCAACAGTACAGAAGCACGTGGTAAACGCCGGCCCCAAGCTGGGCATTGCAGGATAATGCAAAGACCGCAGTGTTGGGAGCCAGACAAAACTGGGGCTCAGATCTTTGACTCAAAAATGTGGGGGAGGTACCATCTTGAGCACGTTACTTCCTTGAACTGAGCCTGTAAAATGGGGACAGCTCTCTAGGTTGTTCTGAGGACTGAATCAGGTGACACACGAGAGCACTCAGTCCGGGTCTGGCACAAAGTAGAGTGTCGGTAAACGTTAGCCCTACCCCTCCCAACCCGCGATTTCCTTGTCTCTAAAGTGGGGCCACAACACCTGCCTCACAACGCATTTGTGAAGCTGACCTCACTGAATGTCCACGAAAGCCTTAGTGAACGAGAAAATCATGTAAAGATACGATTTTTTTTCCACAGTCTGAGGGGGGTGGAGATAGAAAAAAAGGTGTATAGACCTTTCTTCATAAGACACTCCTCTCAAAGGGGAGCCATCCCAGCAGGGCGGCTTCACGCTGTCCTGGAGGTGCACGTGGAGAGCTGCGGCTCTGGAGAGGCTGCAGTGACGGGGGGAGGCTAGAGAAACAGTTGAGGCAAGATTTGAGTCTCATGAACCACATAAAGTTTATTTTGTAGGCACCGGAAGCTATGGAAACTTTTTAGCTGGAGGAATATAAACCAGTGTGTTCTTGGAAAGTTGACTGGCTGCTGGTGGTACATCAACTGGCTTGGAGGAGGAGAGACTGGAAAAAGGTTAACCAAGGCTCGCAAAAGGATCCCTTCCTCAGCTCTGAGGATCCTGGTCAGTGTGATCTTGTCCAGAGCTCCTCCCCTGCCGGCCTCCCACACAGGACTTCAGCTTCCAGTCCTTGGGCCAGCTGGAGCGCTGCTGGGTTTCTTCCCTCCACATGAAGACACTACCTGAACAACCTCTCTTTCCTCTGACCCCTTCTCTACGTAGTGTGTTCCACTCATTCCCTCTCCTCTCTGACAACTGTCCCCTAACCCACCCCACAAGAGTGGACTCCTGGGGCCATGTTTCTCCTACAGGACCCTGATGCCAGGCCATGATCACCAGAGTGGACACCTGACAACAGCTGGACCAATCCTATTATCTGTCCTAGGAATCTCGAAGTAGGACTCAAAAGCATCAGTCAGACTCAGTTAGTTCTTGAACTTGGCAGACAGGTCAATGCAGGAGCTGTGGCACAGGGACAGCTGTGTCATGAGAACAGTCACAGAATAGTGACTGACAGCCAGACGATACATGAGAATAGGTGGGAGCTATGCAGGCTCCAACTCTGGATTATTTAGACATCTGTAAGAGTTGTGGGCCTGATGAACAGGAAGAGCTGGAAAAGAATTCAGAATAGAATCAAGCAGAAAATAAGTCAGACGAATCTTCTCAGGAGGGCAAGGGCTGCAGACTGATGAGACATGGCGATTAGGGAACATGGTCTGTGAACACA